CAAACCTCCTTCTCTCTTTGTGCTCCTTTATCTCTCTGGCCCCAGTGAGCACGCTCCCCGCCCTAGTGAGCCTCCATCCCCAAGTTTTATACCTAGTGTGTCAGTGCTGATGCACACAGTGCAGACTGCTGCTGGCTCGAACCAATCTACTTCCCTCCCTTATGCATGTTTTTTGGACGTGATTTTTTTATCTTCTTCCAGGCATCCTATTTGGGCACCAAATGTAGGGATCCATTGGTCTCAATGGATAGGTTCTACCCAGGGAGTCATGGTGGCAGGAATGAGAAAGACAGACAAGAAGACAAAAGCTGGGCTAGGTGCTCGCCAGTCTGCCTGATGGGCAAGACTCACACCTAGAAAATATTTTAAAACTGAAATAGACCTAGTGAGAATATTTAGCTATGTTACTGATTTCTTCAATTCTCATCCAACAAATACTTCTTTTTTTTTTTTTTTTGCGGAACTGGGGATTGAACTCAGGCCCTTGCGCTTGCCAGGGAAGCGCATATTCTGCTGAGCCATCTCCCCAGCCCCCAAGTACTTCTTGATCACAGGCCCTGCACTGCGTGTGAGATTCCAAAAGGGTCAGCGCTGGAAGTCCTTAGAGACCAAAGCCAGCATCCAGGGCCCGCTGCGCAGCTGGCACTGAGGCTGGGTTCCGGGGCATGTGTGGCACTCTGGGCATAACAGGGCAGAGCCACAGACACAGACCCCCTGGTAGCAGTGCAGGTCTCTGTCTGCAGAACAAAGCATTTGCCTTCTAGAGTGGGTCCGGGAGCCAGCGCTCTGCCCGCTGTGGCCCAGACCCCAGCTCACAGGCACACCTCCAGCCACGGGGGCCACGAGCCATGAGCCGAGCCATTGAGGAGCTGGCAGAGCACCAGGCTCTAGAAACAGACTGGAGGAAGGGCACTCAACTGGTAAAAAGACTGAATCTCAAATTATTCAAGTACTAAGCTCCAGTGTATTCTAGGACTGTCCTAGAGTACAGAATCTATCAATAATAAAGCAGACAAGGGCTGGTGAGATGGCTCAGTGGTTTAAAGCACCTACTTAGAACAAGCTTAGCAAAGCACAGGGACCGCGGTTCAATCCCCAGCACCACATGTCAGCCAGCCCTGTCCCCAGGTGGGCTGAGCTGGCCACACACACACACATACACACAATAATAAAATAAATTTAAAAATAATAATAATAATAATAATAATAATAAAGCAGACAAAAATTCCTATTATTGTAGACTAATCCCCCTTCCAAAAAAGAAAAGCTCCTTTTCCCGCTTCTTTGCCAGTGTCTGATGCGGCTATTGTACACTGAAGGCTGGACATCATGTGGAAGGCCTCACCAGTTTACCCAGAGAAGCCAAGCAACGTGGGTTGCTTGTAAGTAACAGAAGCGGGACTTCTCACAGGAACTAAGGTTGTCAGAGGCAGAATTCTTGGTCCTCCAGGTGGCTCTGCCCACAAAAACAAAATCATCCTGAATGCCTGACCAGAGGCACAGGGTGCCTGCAAGGCACAGAGCTGTGTCCCTCAGCTGGGCCTGACCATGAGTTGGGGAGTTGTTCATGAGGAAACTTTGATGAACCTTGCTTTGCTTGAAAGATCTTGTGCCAACAGTGGTCTGTTTTCACGTGGCAATGCTGATGCTGAGCCAGTAGGAGCAGCCGTGTGGACCGTCAGGTTGGTTTTGGGGAGGCACGCAGAAGCCGCTTCCCAGACAATGACACACCGAAAATCAGTCACTTCCTGCCAGCCCCGTGCCACAGAACCTTTCTGCTCCTCCTCTGAGGTTGCTGGCTGTGGCTACTGCACCATGCCCAACTCCTCCTTACCTTTCCGACTGACTCTGACTTGGATCCTTTGGGTCTCCCCAGCCTCCCTTCAGGTCCCTTCACCCCTGTCCCTGTAGCTTTCCTGCAGCCCTCTGGTCACCTGCACTTGGCCATCGTCGCCTCCCGATTTCAGGCTCTCCCCACACACCAACACCTCTCTGCGGGGCGTAAACCCCCGACTCTCTACTGCTTGAGGTTCGGGTTCCTGGATGGGCCACACAAGCCTGCCTCTGCCCCTTTCCACTTAACACTGTTTGCAAGAGAAAAGTATTCAGGAAGCCCATTCGCACTGATTTAAATGAGAAAATTTTCAGTCACTGCGTCTCAACCTCAAATCCTCAGTTTCTTCAAACATGAAATGTAATAAAATGCTCGTGCATGAACAACAAACTAACACTTTAGGAAGTAAAATATTTTAAAGATATTTTTGCATTTGTGTACTTAATTCTGGCACAATAAGAACATAAAGATTTAAAACAGCACTTCCTAGGGACCCAGGGAGATAGCGCAGTAGAATCAGCACTTGCCTGGCAAGCGTAGGGTCCTGAGTTCAATCCCCAGTACCACAATAAATAAATAAATAAATAAATAAATAAATAAATAAAATAAGGTTAAAAAAATAAAACAACACTTCCTGATTACTCACCAGTTAATGTGGTTTTATGCTGCCTGTGTAACTTGCCACGCATCCCCTTCACTGACATTCACAAATCTCTCCAGTTGTTTTCTGCGAACTTTGATGTACTGTCAATTGTAATTGGAGAGACTTTGAGTTAGTTCATTTTTCTGTTACCATAACAAAATACCTGGGACAATAAACTTAAAGAGAGGGGACAGGGATATAGCCTAGCGGCATAAGCGCCTGTCTGGCAAGGGCAAGGTCCTGAGTTCGATCCTTAGTACTGCAAATAAATAAACTAAAAAAAAAAAAAAAAGAGGCAAGGCTGATTTGGCTCACACGTTGGAGGTTTCAGTTCATGGTTGGTTGACTCTGTTGCTTGAGGCTGTGGGAAGGCAGCGCACCATCGGGGAAGCACGTTGTGGAGCAAGCTACTCTCGTGTCTCCTGGGGAGCAAGGAGAACAAGGAAGAGGTGGGCTCCCACAGCCCCCTTCAAGGGTACACCCTTAGTGAGTTAGCTTCCTCCCACTAGGCTGTGGGAGACATTTACTAGGAGGTGTTCAGTAGGGAACGCAAGCTCTTACTCTTCCCAGGATGCCTCATGAATTTCCATCCCTCGGTCCTCTGCCCATGCTATTCTCTGTATTTCG